TTTATACAAGTTAACAAAATTATCACCACCCTTATTAAATATTGTACATGCTGCCTATTTTTTCAGTTGATAGTTCTGCAAAATCAGTAGACTTATCTGGTTATAGAGTTGTTTTATTGAAGAAATTTGTTCATAGACCTCATCAATTTCTACATTAAGTTTTTGCAGATTTAAATTTTCTATATTGTTAACAACATTATCAAATTCATTATTGCTCTTTAAATTTATATTACCAAGTGTAAATAACCAGTTTGTGTTATAAAAATCAAAACATTTATTCAGATACTCTAAAGCTTTGTCAGTAAATAATAAGTAAATCATGTGAATTTTTATAGTCTGTTCCGGTGAAGATAACAGCTTAATTTTTCTGCCTGTTTCATAGCCAAAAGGGAGATCCTGTTTGCTTAGTGTTAATTCATCTCTAACATTTACCATGATCCCATAAATATCTAAAATTGCTATGTAGTTGCCTTCCAGGCGTTTAATAGCTTTATTAAATAAATTTAATAAGTGACTAGATCATTCTCAGTTTCATTGAGCATCAATAAAGGGTGTCACCGGGTTTCCATATGAAATCTGCTCTAGCGTCATTGTTGACAGCGGTGCCTGAATTTTGTTGCTTGTTGATAAAAATAATTTTTGGCCAATTATTAAGCCCCTACGTTTATTCATTTTTGTAAAAAAGGATCGCAACCCCTAACTTCAAAATCGTTTTGCGAAACTATGACATATTATATTTGAATTTTTAAAAAAGCGACATTGAAGTTACTGATTAGAATAACATTTTATATTATTTTCATAATTTTCCAAACAACTATAAGACAGCAACAAAAACAAATTAGGGGTGGTTTTTCTTTGCTAATTCTCGAAGCACACCGACCAAAAAAATACGTATAATTAATTGGTAAATCTTCAACTATAATTCATAACAATCACAAAGCTGTGGGGTGGGACATATTTAAAATAAAGAAGTTCGATGTAGGTTAACACATAGTTTATTTCGGGCAGCCTAATCTATAATAGTCTCTAAAATTGTAACAAAAATAGCATTTGTCATAAATTACTAATAACTGTAATTTCTCATGTCAAAATATTGAAATAATTCAATCTTCATCACTATTTTCTTCTATAGTTATAGTAAAATTTGTAGCATCAAATATATGTGTTAATATTTCAGCTGGCTTTATGATTTTTGATTGGTAACGGGCATACCTACCTATGACAAATAATAAATTATCGATGTTACATGTGAGGACAACATAAAGTCCTATTTCCATTAACACAATCACAGGTGATACCTCTTGATGCCCTTATAGTTGTTCATATTTGGTTCATATTCAATAAAACATTTATATATCTTGTTATTTATATGTCGAGAACGAACCTTCATTCTTATATTAAACTGCTATTGTCTTTTACATAAATACTCAATATAAATACTATTACTATCACAGCGAGATTGTAACATTTAATATGTTCCTGTAAAAATATCGTAAGATCATTTTCAGTTAATTCTGGAAATCCATGAGGAAAGCGGTAGTGTTGTAAGAGGTTTTTTTACGACGAAATATATTGTTTGCTTCAATCAGATCTTGTAATGTATTTTGTTGTGTTTCGCGTTCTCTCATATACTCGATTATAGTGTCAGCAAGTTCTGAATCCGAGTTCATCCTATTACCAAACGTATTGTGTAAGAATCCAGCAATATGGCACAGCGACCGAAATACAGGCAATAATTTGTTATCCAATTTGTGATGCAACAATTGAAATTTCTGACCAATATCTCCATCTACCGCTATTGATATGGGCTCAGGGAAAATAAAAACTATAAAGATGATTTATATATTATGGATTTTTATATAGAAAAAGTACTAAAAATACAATTGCTAAAACAAGTGAAAAAGTAAAGAGAAAGAAAAAAAAAACAGATCAAACATATCCACAGACAATATAATGATTGAAAGTTTTATTAATCACAGACTAATAGACTTGGATATTTGATTTCCAATAGTCCCCCTCAAATATTCAAGAAAATATTAAACAAAAAAAAAATTACATTACAGTCTGTCTTTATATAAAGTTAAGCTTTAGTTATTTTTCGAAACAATTTAAAAATTACTTTGTTAACAATTTAATACTGTTATTAATCGTAATATTATAAAGATAAGTTCCTACTTATCTTTATAATATTACTTGATTTAAATCAAGTTTAACTTGACTCTTAATTGTAGGAACTTCGTCGTTGTCACCATTTTCGTAAATATATCAGCCAGTTGATTTTCTGTGGAAATATATTCTAGTTTTATTAATTTATTATTAATTTGTTCTCGAGTGAAATGGTACTTGATGTCAATATGTTTGGACCTTTTGTGAGTTGTCGGATTATTAGCAATGCTAATACAACTGTTATTGTCTTCAAATATAATAATTGGACACAACACTAAAATTGACAAACTATTAAACAGTGACTTTATCCAGATGGCTTCTCTGACAGCTTCAAACAAAGCCATATATTCTGCTTCCGTCGAGGAAGCGGCGACAGTATTTTGTTTACGTGTATTCCACGAAATTGTACAATAATCAAACACCTTAAAAATGTGTCCTGTTGTACTTTTTCTGTCAATTAAATCACCTCCCCTATCCGAGTCTGCATAACCAATTATAATCAGTTGTTTATATTCACATTTTTGGTAGGTCAGTTTTAATTTTATTGTTCCTTTTATGTACCTCAAAAGATGTTTTCAGCATTTCCATAATTCCTCATTATTTTTACTTTGATATCTGCTCAATATACCAATGGCAGCACATATATCGGGTCGTGTACAAAGCATCGCATACATCAGACATCCAATAACGTTTCTGCAAGGTGCGTCATAATGATTCTCAGAATTTTTGAAACTTTCAAAATCTAATTTTGATGGAAACGGCGATTTGGAAGGATTAAGGATTAGTTGTTCATTGAACATTTGCTTAAAACGTTTTGAAGGTACTGAGATTGGTCTAAAGTTAATTTTCCCTTACTACTTTCCACTCTTATACCTTCCGGTACCTCCATGTATATATCTTCCTTAAGAATACCGTTCAAAAAAGCGGTTTTGACATCCATATGGTGTGCATGTAAATCTTATTGATTTGCAAGGGCTAAAATAAACCGAAAAATTGTTATTCGAGCAACTGAAGTGAAAATTTCATCATAGTCTTGCAGATATTGTTGTGTGAAGCCGCAAGCGACTAATCGGGCCTTGTAGCGGGTAGGTTCGCCTAATTCGTTGTTTTTAATTGTAAAAACCCATTTAGAGCTAATTATATTTACATTTGTGGCGACTAAGCCGCACCAGTAAACGCGACTTAATCCCACAGCACTATTTTATAAGTTATTAAGTTATGTTACATAAATGTTTTTGTATGGCAACACTAGACAGCATGCTATGTTACATATGTAGTCTTTGATTTTTATAATGGTCTGTTCTGTTACGATCCAGGGGACTAATTGTCTAACTTTAAAATCTTTCGGTTTGAAAGATGTTGTATAACCACTGCTTGTTTCTGAAGACAGTTGAAAAAAAAGTATTTGTATTATGCAGCAATGGTTGTGCAACACCTTTCAAACTGAAAGCGATTGCAATAGATTTAAAATTAGACAATCAGGGGGCAGAATAACAAATATGTCGCATTGTGGTTTACAATATAAAACAATTACAAGTATCAAGATTTTCATTTTGATTGAGAAGAATCAACCAATTTCTTCAGTGGTGACCCTTTCAAGAATACGCAAGCGCATTCTTATATTCATCCGGATCGAACTAGTCAGCGGGCCGTAAGCCGCCCGCCGCTAAGTACCTTTTCTGCAGCCGGCGATTATTCGTCGTCGCGACAGTTTCACGGCCTGCAGCCAGATCGTTTATCAACGTATCAGTGTTTTTGTGAATGTGTTTATGTTTTGCCTGCGTTTTTATGATCGAGCTACCGAGCGGGCCTCAAACCGCTGGTCGCCAAGTTTCTATTCTGCAACCGGCCGATTATTCGCGGCCGCGACTGCTTCGCGACCAGCTCGCGGCGAGGTCGTTTATCATCGTATCATCGCTTTTTGTGAATGTGTTTGTGTTGTAGCTGCATGTTTATGTAAGTTTCAAACATAACTTGTGACTTGAGTTACCCTGCTTACGACTAACTGGAACTTACCTTACTAATTTGTGTTTACAATTAATCTGTTTTATCATAATTGTTTTGATTTTACATCAAATAATTAAAATAACATTTCTAAAGCTGTGAATATTACATTTGCTTAGTTAAGTTTAAATATCAGTTTTGAGTTATATTTCTTCAGTGGTACTAACCTGCAAAAACATTCGGTTTTGCTAAATATCAGTTGTTTAAATAAAAACAACAATAAACATTTATTTGCAATTTTTGTGAAAAGAATCTTATTTTTAATTTTGTGTACATACTAACTGCTTCATTGAAAAATTTATTTTTAGTTCACAATTTTGGTGAGAAATTTTTTTTTATTTGTGTGTGCATATTAACTGCTTGACTGAAATAATTTGTTTTTGTCTGTAATTTTTTGTAAGGAAAATCTTAATTTTAAGTTTTACTATTCTAAGATAAAACCTCTACATTTTCAATTAAACAAAATAGCACTTGGTGCCGAATTTTGTTCGAGGTCCTTGAGGCTTAGGACAGTAACCTCCCAAGTAACACGAAGTCAACCGTTTCATTTTCTCGGTATCGCTACGGCTCTTTAATTCATTTTTGGGAATCTCATTCAAAACCTAACGTCGAAAGGCGCAATTTTTCTTAGTCTCTTATAGTTAAACGTAGCTATGAGCAAGTCAAAGTTGGGTCCAAATACAAAATCCGTTAGAACTTTCTAGGGTTTATTGCAAAATTGAAAAGTAACATGGCAATGGCTATTTTACGACTAGAAGTAGGTACAAACTTATCCTACGATTACCAACTAAAGTACGTCCTCACGTTAACTGTCAAAATTATAAGATTAGTCAGTGCGTTTTTTTATATACAGCCAGCATGTATCGCATGGCATTTTTGACTGCCTGATCACTTGAGTGATTCCACGATTTACTGCAACCATACGATAGGACGAAAGTTGATATGACGGTGGTCGCATGCGAGTCCAACCGAAATTGCGTCTTATTGTTTACTGAGCCGACATACAGGCAATGCTTCAAGGCGGACTCTGAAAAAATATTTTTTGTTAACAAACGTGCCAACTGAGTGCATTTAGTGGACGAATCAAGGCAATCCTCTAGTTCTATCTTCCCAATGTATACACCAGTATCTTTAACGAGTTTAACGAGTCCTGGTGAATATTCACGATGCTTCAATGTCCAATTCTTAGGAAAGTTACGGGAGATTCTTCTGAGATCGTTGATTTCCTGTTCTAGAACCGTCAATGTTTCTAACGACGTCAAGATTTGATTCATCCTCAGGTAACTTATCCGTATGCCCTGCAGAATTTTGTCAATATTAACGCTTCTTTGACCTGTTGAGCTTTTCAGAACTCCAGGGTGCTTCTTTTCTTTTATGATTTCGTACACATCGTCTTCCGTTGAAAAATTTGGGTAGACCAAATCCGAGCGCGTATAGAGCCATCTTTGGTACTCCGAACAAAAAGTTTTGCTTCTGTCGGTCTCGGGGCTTTATGAGGGAATGGATGGCAGAGCGCGACTATGACCTCTACTTTCTATGGTGATCGTTTTCGAAACACTGAGATCTTCAATACACTCTTGTTCGTTTACGCTACAAATCACACTGACGTAGGAACCTGCAACGAAGATGTCACTGTTATCCAAGAAGACTAGGAGCTTTTTCGTTTTCGACTTCAATCTCTCTCATGGTGGCTAAAATTACGATGCAGTTGCATCAGTGAAATATCAATCGGCGGACTGCGTCCTATAACTTACCTGAGATGTCCTTGACCTGCGCCAAGGACAAATTCCAGTCCGCTCTGGGATCTTCATAGACTTTGGCCCGTTTCTCAGTGACCTCCCACGGTTCGTCAGGGTACGCAGCCAGCACTGTCTCGCATTCTTTACTCTGCCATTGAATCCAAGTTGACGGCACATAGTGGATTCTATCAAGTGCATTGTTTTGTGGTAAAAATTTCATGACGCAATACATCCGCGCTCGCTTTGTGTTCATCTGGAAAATAAAAATAGAAATGATCAAAGGTTGAATGGAGACTCCACTAATTATGCCCACCGATCGCAAACACCTGCAAGATCGGAATGTTAATGACGATATTAAAAATAATCCTACCTCTGAGTCACTTTTTGATACAAATTATCGGCAGCCTGTACAATAATAATAAACTTGTTTTCGGTTTCTCGGCACTGGACGTTTTAAGTAAATAAAAATATTAAATAAATTATACGCGTCGCGACGAAGCGCATCTGGGCGCGTTCGCACAAATTAACCAATTAACGAATGCTCGTTCGGGCGATAAAATTTCAACTTTTAGATTAATTTTACTGGTCATTAAATATATACGGCAACAGTTACACGTTTTGATAACTCAACTTTGGCCAACATCTGACTAAATCATGTAAGACCGAAATAGCTACTTTGTTAGCTTTTAATTTAAGGTCAATGCGGAGAAGTCCGGCATACTTAATTGTTATTTTTTTTAAAGGCAATATATCTCCTAAAGTAAAAAATAAAATAAAATGATATTGCTAACAGTATAAAACACTATCTTTTTGCTCGTATTTACGTGAAATTTAATAAATTTTTCTACTGTTATAAAACAGTATTAAAGTTTTTTTTTAAATATGTCGTATAGACGGACTTACCCCGCTTGAGGGGCTAGTCCGTCATGTAGCGGTTTTATCTTTGATTCTTTAGAATAATATTATTTATATATAATGATCTTATTCGAACATAAAAGTCAAATGAATTTGCATTTTAGCATCTAAGAAATAATACCCCAATCTTGATTTAAAGAGATAATATGGAAATTGGGGCAAGCCTTTTATGTAGATATAAAAATATCCTATTTAATATATTTTATTAAGATTTATTTTATTATTTATAAATATATTTATATATTTATCAATTTCATATTCACAATACTATACTGGAAAATATTCTTAATGAATAATGCTTAAAAAATCCACTTTGTCTCTGGTACTCTGAGATGGGATTCGAACCCACAACTTTTCGCAATCCGGGCGACTACTTTAACCACTAGTTCAGTGGACCCAGGACCTAACAGGACTTTGTTACTTTTTCGCGACTACAGAGAGTATTTTTATTAATGAATCCCAACTCAGAGTACCAGAGACAAGTGGATTTTTAAGAATTTTTCATTATGAATACTTGTATATTTTTTTATGAAATAAAATACTGATCTAAAAGTTTAAATGTATATTGATTTGAGGTAACCATACATTAACGATTCTAGTTATTTAATAAAGTGAACCTATTGGTAGATAATGATCAAGAAAAAAAAAATTACAGCCAACAAAGGTTTTACCTAAATATTCTTTTTTTATTTATTTTATTAATCGACCATTAACTTTCTATTTATAAAAAAAAATTAGATAAACTAACAATCAAGGAAATAATAGCTTAAGGAATAACAATCAAGTTAACAAAAACATGAAAAAAAAACAACAGATTAAGGCTGCAAAAACAAATATGGCCACCATTGACCAACACAAACGATTATGATCACATTAAAATCAGTCTTATATCAAATGAGTCTCAAACATTGCACACAAGCAGCCTATTATAAAAAAAAAAAAATTTGGTTACAAAAAGATGAATGGAACTGACGCTGACGCAATCAACATTCTTACATTTAAATAAAAATTATAGCATCATCTATATTATGTAATAAAACTTTATTTAGTTTCGATGGGGTTTGTATTACTTCAACTTTTTTAACTATCAAAATTTCAGGAACTTCATCCCGGTAATTTATTTAGTCATTTAAAAAATTATTTTGGTTTTTTTATAGTTTGTTAAAATCTAATCGAATAACAAGGCTCGGTATTTTGCAACTGAATATTTTCTATGATCCCCACATAATATGTCCATTTTTTTGTAGTGTCATATCGCACTATTACATGGTCATTAGTGGAATATTTAAACATTGGTGATTGGAGATTTTGTCCACTAAAATTATGACCATATACTTCATTTTCATCTCTTTCCGAAAAAGAATCATGTTTAACATTAGTTAAAATAGTTTTCATTTTAGTGTTTCTAGACATTGAGCGCGAAGATACTTTATTTTTTCCTTCTTCCTTACAAAATGTAGGTTTTTTAGCCTCTGCCTTTTTATCGGTCTCAAAATCTCGGTCCTCTCTTTCTTCTGACGAAGCGTCTAATACGTCAGAATCACTATGGCTGCTTAGAGAACCTGAGACGCTAGTTGTAGAACTATGAGGTGATTGATATATTGCGTATATTGCTTTGTGATTTTTGAAACTTTTTATTATTAAAGCGTGTATTAATGTTACGTTTATTTTCTTTTCCAGAACTTTTCTTTTCGATGTCTTTTGTATTTGATGACTGGGATGCCAACGAACTAACTTTTCTGCACTTGATCGATTTTTTTATATTTATTCCAGATGATCCTGGTTTTTCCAGAGCTTTGTTATCAGAAGTAAATTTTATGGGCTTGCCAATAATTATGTCAGATACAATTGTAATTTTATTATTTTCTTTTATTTTCTCCTTTAAACAATTTGGAAGGTTATCAGCTGTTGTGATGGTAAAAGGTCTGGCCTGACTGTCACTTCTTGGTATGTTCCTCAAGTATGTTACTTTATTAGGTCTGGTAGAAGGACTTGGTTGTTTTTTTTTGGATTGAATATTAAATGTATGTTTTGAATTTTTCAATTGTGTTAACCTTTTTTTTAGTATCACATCAGAGTGTGTAATGACCTCCGCTCCAGGTGCTATTTTTCATCTAGTTATTGTCGTGCCCTTTGTGGGGTTAGTATTGATAATAAAGAGCCAAGAAGTATTGGTAATAATTATTTATTAAAGACTTACATAATAAGTATAGCACGCGTCGCAGGCGGCACGGAAGAGAGAGCATAGACATTTCTTAGATCTATGTATAGACTATAGTGTTGCTACTATATTATCACATGTAACATCTTCCCTTTTCTAAATAAGTCCAAAATATTATTTTCTAACTAATAAAATGACAAGACGTTTGACTTTGACAATCATTTTGACATTTCGTATGAATACAAAACAAACATTAAAATAATACTAAGTTTACAATTAAATTATTACAAACTTTTAAGTTCAATTAGTCTTAATCTAATCTTAATCTTATAGGCGGTCTTATCTCTCGACCTGACTTTGTGAATTTTTTATTTAGTACAGGTGTACTTGTGCTTTGAACATTATTATTAGAAGGAACTTGTGATTGTGATAAAACATTTGGAGAACACTGATTTAGTTATTGGATATTTTCTTAATATTGAATGTTGACGATTTCTACGAAAAGTGCCTTCAGGACTTTGTATTATATAACTACGTGGTTCAGGACCTACTTGTGTTACAATACCGGGTATCCAAGTACTATGTGGTTGTTTTTTAAACAATATTTTATCATTTTTGTTCAATGGTTTCATGTCTTTACAGTTTCTGTTATAATAAAATTTACATTTCTCTTTATAATTATGTAGTTTTTCTTTAATATCCTTATAATTACATACTTTAGGCTTAAGTTGTGATTTCAATACAGGTAATTTAGTTCTTAATTTTCTAGAAAAACATAATTGGGCTCGCGAACATAAACTGTTGCCTTTTCGTGTATTTCTGTATTGAAGTAAAGCTAAATATGGATCTGACCAGTCGGATAAACATTTCTTTAACATGTTTTTAATTGTACCTATTGATCTTTCAACTAAAACATTACTGTGACTTAAATATGGAGAACTAGTGATATGATTTATGTCCCAGTCTATGCAAAATAATTTAAATTCTTGACTATAGAAATGGGGGACCATTATCAGAATCTAATATCTGTGGAATGTCATGTCTTGCAAAAATAGATTACAAATGTAAAATTACAGCACTGCTATTTGACTTATTGTTTTGTAATAGTGCTAGTTCTACAAATTTAGAAAAATAATCTGTGACTATTAAGTGTTTATTCTTATTAAAATCATTTCAGAGTCTAATTCGGTTAATGTATGATGAGGTAAAGCTGAACGTGACAAAGTATCGGCTATATCTTTGTTCTGCATGTCAAGGAATAAAAGCCCATTATATTTTTTCTATCTGTTTTTTAATAACTAATTCATTCTTATACCAGCAATAATCTACAGTCCACCTAAGAATCGTCCATTGGTCCATCTCACCGGTAAGAATTAAGTTATATATAACAAACAGCAAAAGAGAAAATACGTTTCGTTCAAATCTCCAATATCAAGCAATGTTGCAAGAAAAACGAAACGCAAGGGTACATACTGATATGCAAGCAAAAGATCGTACTGTGCGAATTTCATTGTGATAGTTTATTGGCGCAATTTAGAGATACAAGAAAAAATCGACCAATAAGCGGCCGGTGCGGCACGGTCAAGCGGCAACGGTCCAGCGTGCAGCGAATCAACGATCAGTTTTCTTTCCTACTCGCCGGGCGGAAGTTCCGTCTGTAATTGTAGAGGCAAGCGAAAGGAAGCGTCTCTTGAAGCATTTTTTGTGGTCAGAGTTTAGTTGTGAAATAGCTATTTTTTATTGTAAAGTGCAAGTGCAAAAGTGTAACATTGTTATATTAGGAACTATAAGGTGTTTAAATCCTATTACTCTTGGAGCTATATTATTTAAGTGATATTCGTAGTCTACCCAATTTTGTAAGATTTTATAATCTCGTGTTCGTTAGTATTTAAAAATAGCGGATGCGCAAAAAAAGCTAATTGCAAGCCGAGGCTACGCAAAAGGAGCAATAACAAGGATTAACAATTTTACCTTGAATAAGGTTGAAGTTGAGAGTACCAGTAAGGAGACCCTGATAATAAAGCGGGACAGATTATTAGCAATGTTCAAAGAGTATGAGCGATGCCATCAAGACATTTTAGCTTATAATACTGAGGATACTGAAGACATATCTGTTATAGAAAGTCACTATTTTTCTAGTCTAT